TGGAGTACCCCACTTACTACCGGGCTTCATCACCCCTGCCCCCTCACTCCTTACTAAAGTGGGTGGGGAAGAAGTCGGGTATGCCAGAGAATGTGGAGGCAAAATTACATTTTGCAGAAGGGCATTTGTTTTTTCTCTGTAGGGGAGCAATTCATGCTGCCCCTGATTTGGTGGCTAAAACCATTTTGGATGTCAGATTCTTGGGTTAAGAAAGACCCATTATTAGCTCCAGTGGCCTGATGGTGTTAGCTGTTATATGGTCCACATCAGTTCCGAACTGGGGGCACTTGTCCCTCCCCGTAGGGATATCCAGCCATGTGCAATGTCTGGACATGACTTGGGGCGCTGTTCCCCAGGCTATCTCATGACGGCTCAACTGGAGCTTCCTCAGAGAAGCTTTCCCTGTCCAACTCGTAGTTGCCACCTTGATGATCAATCAGTTAGTACCTTCATAGCACTCAGCAGGATCTGAAATGGTTGGGCACATCGACGTACTCATCTGTTCCTCCCTAGAAAGTAAGCACTGTGACAGCAGGACTTAGCCTCTCTTGTGACCTCTACATCCCAGTGTCGCAGGTGACGGTGGCAGTGAGAAGTCTTTATCCTCCATAGACGAAGGAATTACTAGGGCCCAAATTCCTTTCTGCTCATCCTCATCTTCTTTGTCCTTTGGCCTATGTCACTACTTGCTTTTTTGGACTCCTCCTGGCCCCTTGTAAGTCAGGTAGACGTTTATCTTACTCTGTCCTGCATTTGGCCTCTGGAGGCACTGTGCTAACCACCCCCCCCCCCCCCCGCCCAACTGGAAACTCCTTGAGGACAAGGACTGGGCTTTAATCTGATTGCAGTTCCTGGTTCTCAGCTCACACGGTGCACAGCTGCCCAGATATTTGCTGATGCTGGTCGCACTGGGTTCCACTATGATTGCCAACCCTGGTGTGGACAGGAAGCTTTCTTCTCCTCAGGTATTTTAAAAATAGAGACAGTCTTTAGCAAACTATTTTTCAAGCCTAGTGAATTCTCAAGCAGACAAGTGATTGTTAAGGAAAGAAATTGTTGAGTCAGGCTATTGTTTGAGCTCCTGTAAGTGTATATGCTCAGCAGAATCAGAGAAATTATAAAAGGATAAGTGGAGAGCCGAGAAAGTTACAAAATTCCATGCTATCAATGAAATGTCGTTTCTGATGTTCGCTCAATTGCACTTCTAAGCTAAGCTCGAACAATGTTCTGAGACTCTTCTACTAGACTAATTCCCCCTAAGAATAGCAAGCACTCAATTCAAGAGACTAAGAGCTGGAAGGGACCTTAAAAATAATCCCTCTCAACTCTCCTTAATAAGGGGTGAGGAGCTCAGGAGGAGTTGTATTCAACACAACTACAGGGGTAGATGTGGGTCACCCAGGCAGGCCTCCCAACCCTGGGTCAGTGCTGTTTTCATTCAGGGTTAGTCTGTTTGGCCCAGCAGCCCTTCTCATGTTGTCACATAACATGTTTCTTCTCCCAAGCTGCAGGTGTCAGTTCTTCATGCGCCCTGGCTGCTGGAACAGGGCCTTCGTGGCCTGATTTGAAGGACATCAGGAATTCTCCCCCTTCCTCTCCCTGGCCTGGTACCCCTTGCTGGCCAGCCACTGCTGCCAGAAACTGCACTTTATATCTAGACATAATCTGTCCTTAGACCAAAGGTGGCAACTTCAAATGCCTAGGGGGCTGAGCAGGCAATAAAAATGGTGAGCTGGTACAGGTGGGACAGTGGGTTCTGGAGAGTCCAGGCTGTGCCTACGAGCCTAAAGGAACAGCGTGGCCAGCTCCAGCCAGAGGGGCCTTATCATCTGTGTTTTCAAGACAAACCAGAACATTTTTTAAAATATGAGCTCTTCTGAATTTTAAACATTGGCAACAACAGCAACAACAAAAGTTAAAGTACTATCTGACCCCCAAACAAAAGAAAACACTTCTATCTCTCCAAGCTGGATTTGATACTTTACATAGGAGTATAAAGCCATCTTCAGATCTTTCCAGTGGACAGGGGATAGGGGAGATCAAAGAAATAAAATGTTCCCTCAGGGAACTTCATGGAAAGCAGTTTGGGTGGCTAGTGCAGGGCCCGGAATAGGTGAGGTGAGGGAGGTGCCTAGAGAGCCACATTTAAGGAGGCACTTACTCTCAGGGATGACCCTGAACCTGTATGACCTGGAGAGGGAGCACTTCCTTAAATTTTGCTCCCTAGGTGCCTCACTCCTTCACCTGAGTGCAGGGTGTGCAGGGGAGGAAGGAGGACCAGCCATGAGTCAGGGGACCCATATCTATAGGTCAGACTGAGTGGAGAAGACCCCAGGGAGTGGACAAGGTGTGTGAAGACCATGGAAGGCCAGCTGTACAGGTGGTACGACTCGACTCTGCCATGGAAGGAGCTGGGCAGAGTGTGTCCTGTGTTTATTGTACCACTCTTCGCTTCCCTGATAATGCCACACCTTCTGGAAGCCTCAACTTGCTCTTGCCCCAAATGATCTTTGTGGAAAGTATGAGAAAACAAGTAGCAGCAGTTTTTACCTCCAAACCAAGCAAGAAAAGAACCTGTGGGCACCATGTTAGGGTCGAAGGCCTCAGTCCAGCCCCTGAGCTGGCGGGTAGTACAGGGGCCGTGGCTAGCCCAGAGGCCCCCAGAGCTTGCATAAGCCCCTGCCTCCTGAGAGCTTCTGCAGGGGCAGGGCAGACTTGTTCTGGGTAATTCTGAGGAGGAGGAGGCTGGGCCTTTGTACAACTCGGCCTCCCTGCCTCCTGAGTGACACTTGGCAGGAATCTGGAGGAGCCTGACTCCAAGTAGCTCTTCCCGCTGCCTCCTTGGCTCTCCAGCCAAATGCCTGCGGTTTGAGGCCAACGCTGGGGACAGGGAAGTTTGTTCTGGTGTTCAAACCAGGGGTGAAGGACATGGTTTTAACATAAAATAAATTTTTGGAGAGAGAGAAAAGAGAGGCTTCCATTGGGAGCCCCCAAAGGCCCTAACCCTGCTGCTCCCTCACAGTGTCAGGAATCAGCGTCTGATGGGAGCCAGCAGCCATCGAGCAGCCCTGGGGAGAGGAGCAAGCTGCGTCATGGAGTGGGACCAATTATCCCCGAGGTGCTGGGGGTGGCCCACACAGCCTCTGCATGGGACCGCCTTGTTTGCCTGGGTCCTTGGTGCCAGCTACTTGCTGTTTCTAACACCTGCAGCAGATACTCGAGCAGGTGTCTGGGCCACTAAACCCTGTGGGCTGCTTGGGGTGAGGATGGATCTCCGGGGGATAGGAGAGATGTGACAGCTGTCTGCACAAGTGGGATGTTGGACAAGCTGTCAACTGAAAAATAGACTTCTCCGGGACCCCAGACTCTACAATTAGGACTGGAGGTAGAGCTAAAGGAGACACATTTTTCTGTCAATACAAGCAAAACAACAACAAACGCAACTTTTTTTTTTTTTTCAAAGTTGTCTGCCAACTGTGCCGGTGTCGTGACCTCCTCAGAGAAGGCTTCCATGAACTCCTTCCCCACTTCCCCAGCCAAATCGGCTGCTCCCCCGCCCTTGTTTCTCTGCGCCATCAGTCTGTTTGTGTATTTCTTTAAGTTACTTATCAGAGCCAATAAACATTGTGCTTACTGCCGCTCACTTGTCTACTAACCAGTCTGAGGAACACCCTTCACGAGGACAGAGGCCTCTGTGTCTGGTTCATCCTTGCTTCTTCAGTGCCAGTGTGCGGCCTGGCACATAGTATGAACGCAGTAAACAGCTGGTGATCGAATGGATGAGGAGCCAGTGAATACTTCAGGAGAAAATAAATTCCCCACCACTGCAAAGACTTAAGCAGAGGTTGAGTGGCCAATGGTCAGGGACATTAGAAAGCTCTCCCTCCTCCTCCTCCCTGCATTGGTTAGTTATGCCAGCTGCTGTGACAAACAGACCCAAACTATACAATGGTTCAGTCATCAAAGAGAGTTATTTTAGCTCATGTAGTCTTAGCTGGCTGGGTTTGATGGGCAGGCAGCTCTTTGAGAGGAAGTGGTTCAGGAACTCAGGCCCCTCTCGCCTGGTGGCTCCATCATCTTCAAATGTGGCTTTTTAGGTCACCCTGCTCAATGGCATCAAGCAGTTAGAAGGAAGAGGTGATGCTAAGCCATTGCCTTCCACTCACACTGTACTGACTAGCACCCACATACAGCATGGCAGGGTTTGGGTGATGGCCCAGGGGAGCGAGGGGCTCAGTCTGGTCATAGTCTGCCAGCTGTGCCATGCCTGCGTTGGGCAGGAGCTGGGAGCAGATGGCTTCTGGGAGCCTCTCCAGTCCCCACATCCGTGTTGACGGATTGTGTTCTCCTTTTGCAACAACTTAGCATTTAGAGAGAAGTTAGGTACTTGTTATCTCTTTTCTAGCTTTGTAATTCTTTCTTTTGCTCAGGAATTTCTTCAGTGTTTCTGGTGTGTCATTATGGATGGTGGGAATCTTTGCTTAGGCAGCCACAAAGATGCCCAAGTCAGAGAGAGGCCTGTCCAGGAACCCCAGCTGTATCGTTCCCTAGATATGTGGCATCGGGCAAGTGACCTAACCTCTCTGTGCCTCCACTTCCTTCTCCGGAAAATAAGGACAATAACAACAATTGCCCACTTTGTAACGAGGCTTACAAGGGCAGAGAGGCATGTACCATTTATGGTGCATTACTCTAGGCCACAGGTGGCAAACACAAATCTGACCCTCCACCACTTTGTTTTATCCCACCCAGCACCTTGTTTCTACCCGGTGGCAGCACTGAGCCCCTTGCCCCTAGTTAAGGAGCAGTTACGTTTATACAGTCCTACCATTACATTCAGCCCTTTGAAGGCAACCGAGAGGCTGATGTGGTCCCTGGTAAAAGTGAGTTTGACATCCTTGCTCTAGGCTGTTGTCCTAAGCACCTTATTTTTATCATCTTTTTAAAGTTTTCACAGCAACTCTAAGAAGTAAATAGTATTATTAGCCCTATTGTTTCAGAGGGGAACACAGAACCACGGAGAATGAAGCAGCTTGCCTAAAGTCATGCAACTGATAGACGTGCACGAAGTCACCCGATTCCAAAGCCCACGAGGTAGGTAATCCACGGTGACAACGTACCACGAGGATGATCTTTGTTGTTATTATTGGCTCTACAGGCTAAGCCAGTCCGAGGCTTACTTATAGTATTGGTTATGCTTGGCTAACGATTTCAGTCTATAAAGTAACTTTATGGCTCTTAGCTTTATAGGTCTTCACCATAACTCTGAGGTACTTTCATTATGGTACCCCTTCTATAGGAGATAAAAATGAGCCTCCGAAGGCATGAATCAGTACTTCAAGGTCACACAGGCAGAAACGAGTGGAGATGGCTCTCATGCTCTGACTTTCTACAAGGCCTTTGGCTGGTGAAACTCAAGTTAATATTTGTTAAGTACTTAGAATGGTGCCTCGCGCATAGTAAGCGTGATATGTGTTTATTAAATAAGTTAACTGAATAAATATTGTACCCCACTGACTTCTTCCACAAATATTTCTCTAGCACCTGCTACCTACCACCTGGGAAGTTAGGGGGGTGGTAGCTGTGAGCCTGGGTCTCTGGTCCACTCCCCGGACCCCTCGTGCCCGGTATGCTCAGGCTGCCTCTTGGCTGGGTTGGTCTGTTCACCTTCTCCCCTCAGTCCAGTCTGTTGTTTCTAGAAGCTCCTCCCTACAATAAAAAAAAAAAGGCTTCTTGCCCTGGCGGGTGTGGCTCAGTGGACTGAGTGCCGACCTGTGAGCCAAAGGGTCACCGGTTCAATCTCCAGTCAGGGTACATGCCTGAGTTGTGGGCCAGGTCCTTAGTGGGGGACGTGCGAGAGGCGACCGCACGTTGATGGTTCTCTCCTGCTCCTTCTCCCTCCCTTCCCCTCTCTCTAGAAGTAAGTAAATAAAATCTTTTAAAAAAATGGCTTCTTATTGCTCCTGCGTTCAGGCCCCTGCTTGCTGCCGTGGATAACAGTGTCATTAACTGACAGCGACCTGACAGGTGGTGGTGCCCGCTCTGAAACTAGGGGCATTCTATGGGGCTTCAGCTAACCAAGAGAAAGAGGAAGCGGTTCAAGAACTGGGGCCCCTTTCATCTGGTGGCTCCATCGTCAGGGGAGAAAGAACTAGTGGCAGAATTTCAGCCAATGGGAGACATTTTTGGACGAGAGGGCCTGAAATCACAGGAAGTTGTGAAGCGGGGCCACCGCTGCTCAGGGCTTTTCACGAAGTCCACCCTGACTGGGAGATTGTTGATGTTTCTCTCTCTCTCTGCCCCCTTTCATAAGAGCTTTTTTTAAGTCACTTTAGAAGATTCCTAACATTCCTTGTCAAATGGGGCCCCAAATGATTCCCAACTTGTGCTTTTAATGGACCAGACCCAGAAATTCCCACACAGTGAGACAATGAAAACTGAGAAACGTGTACAGGTGCACTGACAAGTTTTATTGTACCTCTACCTTGAGTCAGGTTCTGTTGCAGGTGCCGAGGAGGCAAGGACGGGCAAGCAAGCCATGGCCTCCCGAGGGCCTCTGAGGCCCGTAACAGGTGGTTTCACCTTTAAAACCTAAAGTGGCAACCATCACAGGTGACCCCATGAAGTTTCTTGGGCTTTACGATCTAGGATGACATGTCATGTTTGTTGTTTTGTTTTGGTAGGTTGAGAACTCCTTCCTTCTACAAGGAAGTACATCATGAAAATGGCGTGTGTCTGAGACTTCCAGTCATATATCCTGATAACCCTTCTCTCTTCTTCTACAGCAATAAAACCCCTGACTTATATGATTTACAGTTGGGTGTTTGGCTACAGAGAATAAAGACTGTATTTTCCATCTTTGTTTGCAGGTTAGAATGGCCTTGTGACTAAATTCTAACCAACCACCTAGGAACAGAAGCATGTGCAACTTCTGGTGGTGCTCTTAAAGGGAAAGAACGCACTCCCTCTCTGTTTCCTCTCCCTACTGGATGGAGTGAGGATGTGTGATGAGCTGTCAAGGCCATGGAGATAAAGGCAGTGCCCCTCCCCTGGGGAGAGTGGAGCAACGAGAAGGAGAAGGAGGCAACATGTAAATAGCTTTTTTGTTTGTTTGTTTAACTACCTTAAATAACCCAATCTACTTAGTTACCCAAAATCGCTATCTAAAATAAAACACTACACACAGATATGCCAGATACTTGGCTCCTTTCTTCCTCCTCTTCTTGGGTCAACCCTATTTACTATTACTCTTCAAATTTAACCCTAGGAAGCATTTGCAGCTACATTTTTGCTGGAAAGATGGTGTCTATTCACAGATTCCTTACAATTAAATTTCTTACTACCATGGAAATAGAAAGTTCTAATGTCACAGTGAACAACCACTGAATGAGCCAAGTGCTCCTGGAGAAGTCTGCTGGAGCCAGTCAAAGCCTGTAAGTGCTGGGAGGTCCGGGGCAGCAGTGTTTGACAGATGGTTATCAATCACCTGCTCTGTGCCCAGAGCTGTGTACACGGAAGGACTAAAAAGGAATGTGTGCATGATATAGTCCCTGACCTCAGGAAGCCCCAACCCAAGCAGGATATTAGAGGCTACTAAAATACAAAGTTTCCCCCAAAAGTACTGTCTTAGGATGGGGACATTCATTGACTTGGCGTAGGGACTAAAGGAGGAGAAGATCGAGTGGTACTTCATGTGAATGATCTCATTTCCTTTTTGTAACATCCTATGAAACACACATTTTGTTATCTCCATTTAACAGATGAAAAAAACAAGACTCAGAGAAACTGTGTTACCTCTCCTATGAAAAACAAAACAAAACTCTAGTAAACTGATTCCATGGTTGTTTTGAAAGTCAGATCCAGACAGAAGCAGGACAAGCCTTTCCACTTTACCCATCTGTAAAATGGGTTAATAGATATTAAAAAGCAAGGAAGAAAGGAGAGGAAATGAAAACTTCTATGAGAAATAAATACAGACTTTTATGGCTAGAATACCAGAAAACGTTGCAATTCATACTTTAGTCTCATATCTAAGCTCTTCCCTCTTTCTGTGACAACTCTCCTAAATCAGCTGGGCTTCTAAAGGAGTGCCCTGAATGCACCAAAACCTCATCCCACTTCACATAACAATACACCACTCAGTCCACATGCAGGTCATTTTTCCAATAATGTTACAGTGACAAAAATCAACAAGTTTCTTGTTGGAACAGCTTGGTCATTAAAAATACATTAATAGCTCATTATTCAAGATACTGTACTAATCCTGCTCATTTCCTATTGAAACTTATGAAATACTAAAAGCCTAATCAACTAGAAGTAGTGTTCAGTGGCCATAAAAAGAATGCTCCATTAAAGAAAAAAAGAATTATGATCAAAATGGTAATTATAATATATTGTATTTATCTGGCACTGAGCTCCTCTAATGGTTGAATGGCTTTGTAATTTATACAGAAAAAGATTGAGAATGCAGTGTGTTCAGAAGTAAAATTAAAGTGGTGGGGACGGGTGTGTACCTGAAGGGGAGTGGTAAGGTCTTAAGGGCTTCTTAGAATTCCTCAGAGGAGAGAGACATCTACAAGTCCCACTGCAATGGATTCCCCTTTCCCCTACTATTTTGATGTCTACATACCTAAATTATATATTTTGATGTCTACATACCTAAATGATCAGAACCAACTCTGAGATGCCTTACACCCAGAATTCCCCACTCTACTACATACAAGCCCTGTGTCTTTGGACATTCTTAATGCTTTATTTGACCTCCAAGCTTGATGATCAGAGTTTAAGTGTTCTTCTCTGGGTCTCATTAAAATCATAATGAAATAATATGTCATACCAGGGGAGGGTGCTAAGACTTAAGATTAATGTATGTGAAATATAGGCACATTGTAGGCACTCAATAAATGGTGGTATTACTGGTCTTATTTCCATTAGATGAGGCTCTTTAAGGGCAGAGGTTATATTGTGTTCAACTTTGTAACCGCAGTGCTAGCACTGTGCTTGGCATATGTTAGATGTTCAGGAGATGTCTGTTGTAGCGAACTGGAGTCCGAATCTGATACTTAAGACTCCTCAAAGCATCATAGCACCTGGTTCTCTGTGGGTGCCAAATAAATGTTTGCTTTTGACTAATGAAGAAGAATGTATTGATGATTATCGATTAGACACTGAGCTCTGTCTTCACCCTCAAGAAGCTTAAAACTGATTTGGAAAATCAAGGTTTACACACATGAAAAAATAAGAAAACACCACCTATGATGAATCACCATTTTTCTTCCCTAACAACCATTTCCTCTTTTTCTGGCAAGAAACCTGATTTTCCTCAGAATCGCTGCTCCACACTCCATGTTCTTAGGAGCATTTAGCACTCTCTAAGAAAAACTATACTATTAAAGAATCCAACATTATAGCCACTTCTGCCTTGTAGGTATTGAAGCGGCTCAGGAAGTCATGTGACCCAGCCCTGACCAATTGGAGCACCACATTCCAGTGATTTTTCAAAGATGGGCAGAAGGTAAAAAAAAAAAAAGATGGACAGAAGGTCATCAGAAAATGCTGTCTCTGAACCAAACTGTTAACAAAAGTTATAGAGTACTCTGTAAACTCAAAGGATGTATTATCAGCAGAACATGCCATGAGACAATAATAGGCTGTGGAATGTTTAAAGACTTCAACTACTTGAGATGCCCCAGTTCCCAATGGAAGAGGCACTTGGGTTGGTGGTAACAGAACTGGCCCATCAGCCAGGAGGTCCTGACAGGTCTCAGGAGGCCCCCGGTGAGGCGTTATACTATAACACCATGGTTACCACACTAACTTTATCGAGTCTTGTCGATTTCATTCACCGGTAACAGCAGCATGCTGCATTGTCTACAAGTTATGAACTAATAACAACCAAACACCACTATGCTTGTGCCGCAGCCATCTAATGATGACCATAACCTCTGGGGTCCAGAAGGAGGTGGGCACGCACCCACGCAGAGCCAATGAGGCGGACTCCTACGTGGGGACTGTGTGGAACGGCTGGGAAAGACAGAAGCTGCTTCCTGATGCTGCTCTTGCGGACAAACTCGACATGGAGCTGCTGACAGCCACCCTGCCATCTCGAGGTGGAGATCCCGGGACAGGAACCCGCCCGGAGGAGAGAGGTGGACAGAGTCATGCTGAGTGCTGATGCTGTCACTCGAGTCTCAGGATCCAGTCCTGCCAGAAGTGAGATTTACCCCTGGGCTTTTCAGTTTTCCAGAGAACAAATCGTCCCTTTTATTTTTACTTAGGACAATTTAAATTGTAAATTGTCACTCGCAAGCTACAATACAAACAAGCGAATGACTCAGATTACAAATGCTGTGGTTTCAAAGAATGAAGAAGTTATTTCTAGAATAACTGGGTTAACTTCTTGAAGCACATGGAATAGAGACTGGTCTTGGAAAACTAGAGAATTTTAGGGTTAGTATACAAGGGAGCAGATTCTGTGCACTGGAACAAATTTAGAAAAACCAACTGAAAGAGGGTAAGTGATGAAAGGGAATATGGGAACAGTCTAGTGTGACAGAAAAGGCACCGGACAGAATGTCAGGGTTCTAGTCACTACTCTGCCACCAACCAGTCATGGGGCCTTAGGAAGACCGGTGTTTTCTTTTGGGGACTCAGTCTCCCCTTATGTCAATGCACAGAATTGGACTTGCTGGTCTCTACAATCCTTTCCAACTCTACCTTCTCTGGGTCTATGAAATCTTAAAAGGCTGATCACTGTCCTGTAGATCTAAACATCACTTTGGAGTAACTCACATGCTCTTAGAATATAGATTCTTTTTGGTCTTTTGTCTTCCCTGCCACCCCTCTCTTTTTATCCACTTGACAAAGCACAATCTGTTTCCCTCATGTTCTGAATGAAATGGAAATGGACAAGCTACATTCACTGAAAAGCCACGACTTTTAGCTTTGAAAGCACTTGATTGTGCCCGGAGAAAGCTCATCTCTGAGTGAGCATGATGAAAGCAGTGGGCAGGCGCTGCCTGGTTAATTGTGCTTCTGCAGAGATTAAAGCAGGAGGGAGGAACGTGAAGGAGCTTTTTTCTTTCTGAGCCACTTCCTCAGCCCTCTTCCCTTTCTGTGGAAAAGGCTTGGGCACCCAGGTGTAAATTAAGATCCAAGCTAGAGTGTAGGCAAATCACATACTCAACTAGAGGTGTAACTCTGCAGCTTGTAGCATTTGCTGATGTAGCATCATATGGCTCCCCAAAGAAGTATTTTCTTTTCTTTTTCATTTTTTAAATGGAATTTATTGAGGGTGACATTGGTTAATAAAATTATATAGGTTTCAGGTATATGATTGTGTAATACATGATCTGTAAACTGTGTGTCCACCACCCTAAATCAAGTCTCCTTCCGTCACCATTTATCTCTTTTACCCTTATCCACTTCCCCACCCTCCCTTCCCATCTGGTAACCAATCGCCATACTGTTGTCTCTACGACTTGTTTTTTTTTCTGCTTCATCCCTCCCCTTTTTTGCCCAACTCCACAAACCCCCTCCGAAAAGACACATTTTCATGTTCATAATGAAGCCAAATGCCAGTTCTCACCTAGAGTCACATCCTTGGTTGGAATATGTTCTAGGTTAAAACCATGGCAGAAAGACTTGTAAAACCAATTAGAACTCTTCAGACTGGGTTTGAATGAGGGAATTACAGAGGCAGGTATTTCCAAATTTCAAGTCCTCAAGTCACTAACACTATTATGCAAATGTATTTGTTTATTTACTGCCTATCACCACCCTGAAGGCAGGGACATTATCTTGCTTATCACTGAATACCTGAGCCTGGCAGAAAATAACTGATCAATGAACTTTCACCGAAGGAGTGAATGAACACATGTTAAGTAATAGGGGTTTTATGTGCTCTCTTTTAGCTAACCAGAAACAGGAATAGTTGTGTCTCAAGAGTTCTGTGATCGGAGGAGCAAACCACAGACACCACATAGAGCTGATATAATTCAAGCCCCAGACAAAGACACCTGATATTGTACGTACTTTTGTTGCAGATAGTGGTACACTAGTTATCTGATTTTGGAAATATTGAAAATAGTTCATGATCCAAGGGGTCCAGAGAACAGTTTGGGCATCCTGACTACATTTTGCATGCCATGCATAGAAAAAGGCTTGTGTGCTTAGCAGATGCCCAAGACAACTGTTTGGAGAAGCTCTGGCATTGCTGGGATGGTGCTTGGTGAGAGCATTACCTGCATCACCTGGTTGGCCAGGTGAGTCTCTGCTGTCCATGACTGTTGGCCAAGCTCAACATTTTTGAGAAAGGGACAGAAATGCTGCATTCAGGGTCCTTGGGGAGGGAGAAGAAGAGTTGAGAGAGAGAGCTTCACTGTTCCCGAGAAGAGTTGATGGTGTATGGAGAGGGGGAGGCTGAACTTTATGCTGTGACCTCTCAAATTGTTTTAAAGTCACTAACCCCATGGACTCCCAGCTGTAATTCTGTTTATGTATTTCTATTTTTTAATGGATGGGACCTGAGTTTCTCATCTGGGAACGTTGGTATGGGGTGAACAGGGAAAGCACTTGGCAGATGCGAGCTCCAAGACCACCATGATGAGGCATTTGGAGAATCTAGACAAGCTACATTCACTGAAAAGCCCTTACTTGATTATCTGGAGACATTATAGCCTCCCACTTCCTATCCAGGCTGTGGATAGGAAGATGCTTGAGTCAAGGTTATTTAGATACCTGAAGGATGGGCAGCTTCAGCTGACACTGGGCTTACATGCAGATGAGGAAGCTAGGGCAACGAGACACGGGTTCAAACAAACAAAAACAAACAGACCACAGCACAACGAACTGATTCTGGTTTTAGAGCCAAACTTCCTGTAACTGGGTTTGAACCCAGCTGTCACACCAGTTCCTATGGCCCCAAGTCCATTGTCCGCTAAGTCCCAAGTCCGCTAAGCCTTCATCAATGCCGTCCCTACCTCAGCAGCTTGTCAAGGAGGTGATAGGACAGGAGCCCTGTCAGCTCTCACCACAGAACTGAACAAGTGGCTCACATTATTTTGAGCTCAAGAGAGGTGCCCACAGCACCCAGACCAGAAAGTGCCAAGAGGATTACAACCTGGCCCTTGCGCCACCACGTGGGCTGCCCTTCCCCGACGGAGGCTGCTCCCTGACTTTCAAGGTAACAACACAGAGGGATGCGCCAGCTCTGTGCTTTCTAAAGGCCCAGCTGTTACTTGATAGAAAACATCCTGCCCAAGTGGCTTTATAAAAGCCAGGACATCGTGACTAAGTTAAATAATGGCAGTGAAATATGACTTCCCTTGTATTTATCAGGACAGCGCTATAAACGGCAAATTGTGGTGGCCTTGGGGAGATGAAGAATTCAGTTGCTTTGGAATCCCGCTGCATTTCCCCAGTAGGGCTTTCTTTGCTGAGGAGAATCGTGTTATCTCTCACCTGAGGTCTAACATCGCATTTATAGTCTTGTTGAAGCTGTCTGCGGTGTTGATGGGCTGCTGGCTAGAGCTGGCTGAGCTCAGAGCCTCAGCAAGGCGGTGATGCTGGGAAAGAGCCCGGCTGGATGAGGAGTCCGGTCATATGTGTTTAAGACAGCACTATTAATTTGAGGAGGTAAAGAGAGAGAGAGAGAGATTGATTTGTTGTTCCATTTATTTATGCACTCATTGGTTGCTTCTTATAAGTGCCCTGACTGGGGATTGAACCTGCAACCTTAGAGTATAAGATGACCAACTGAGTCACCCAGCCAGGGCTGAAAGAACTCATTTTTTTTGTGTGGAAGTAGGAGGATCAGTTCCCATGTTGGGGAGTCAGTCAATAAAAGCAAAAGGTTTCAAGGTTTGGCTTAAACTTTCAAGGCCCTTCTAGCTGTACTATTACATTATTCTAATAACTGGAAGCCAATTTTAGAGCTGGTCAAAAGGGAAATCATTTCTTTGCTGACATTTGCTTTGCATGCTCTCTGCATAGCGTCTCCACGTCTGCGTGCCGACGGCACCGTAGGCAGCTTTTCATTTTCCAAGTGCAATTCCAGGCAGCTGAACTCTCAGTTCACAACTTCAAATTGTCATCGTCGTCTCATCACCCCGGATCCCTCTCCCTATCCCGTGCTCTGCTCCTGGGATCTGCCTGGGCCTGTCCAAGGGGATTCAGACTTCCGTGGAATTCCCATTAGGTCTTCTATGAAGTCGACAGGCTTCTCGGGGCCACAGTGAGGAAACTATTGGACTTTGTATGTGAAAAATTGTGGCAGTTCTAGATGATGTTATTTTCTCCAGAGGAAACTTAATTTTCTTCCACTGCCTATTCAATCAGTGGTGGAGATTGGTCTAAACTGAGTTAGTGGAAGTTTGTCTGTTTCCTGTTCATCCTTATTCTTGGTCTTCATGGAGGCCTGGAGGGTTTAAACAGGACCCTCAGCCTTACATCTATGAATGCCAATCTTTGCCTTTCTAGCTCTTGAAAGTGAATGTCTTAGCTTCTAAGCATCTGCCCTCTGCTTGATTTCCTGGCCTCGGACTCCTACCTGGCTTAGGATGCAGCAAATTCCCTGGAGCAGAAAGTGGAGCAAAATCTCAGACTCACTTCTTCTGCTCTGTTGGTGACTGTCCCCCAAACGAGGCAGGCATGATTCGCCATGACTAGGCTAGTCCTAGTGTGGGAGGAATGACTGAGACTGCACTTCCCAGGCCAGGGCAACAGTACTGGCCTACGGATTGGGTTTCATGAATTCTAAGGATTAGATGAGTTATCTTGGCCAAGAACCTGTCTCCTCTGGGCCTGAGATTTCCATTAAAAATATCAAGTCATTGTTTATTTGTTCGCTGAACACATTTTGAATGAATAAATTACAGACTACTTACTATATGCCAGGCCCTCGGCTATATGGTTTGTATCAGTGTTTTAATTTAATTCTCTCAATAGCCCCATAAAACTTCATAGGTGGGAACCCCGGGCTTTAGAGAGGTTCAGTTGCTTGTCTGAGGTCACACAGTAAGTGGCAGGGTTGACACCAGGTCTTGTCCTTCCTCACCTCTGTTCTAAACAACTCTCTAGCCTGAATTCCCTGTGCCCTAGCTTTAATATTCCAGCACTTCAAGCATCCCTATCGACACATTCACATTTATTCCATAGCATCTGGCACTTTATGGATGAGGCTGGACCCTGATACAGCACAGTCACATGACATGAGGGAGCCCCCAAACTGGCTGCTACATCGGGGCTGTCTCAGTTTCCCAGTCTTGCCCAGAAAGCCCATTAGTCATGAAAGGGGCAATTACAAGAGCAATAAGAAGCATCTGAATCAGAGATCCCTTACCATTAAATATTTTGATGTGCCTCTTATTTGAGCTCTCATCTATATTTATGTCTTCGTCTTTCTGAAACAGATATTGAAAGGGAATGGGAGATGTGAGGGTAA